GAAAGAGACTAGAGAATTTCAGCAGAAGGAGCAAACCGCTCGAAAGAGACTAGAGAGTTTCCGCAGAAGGAACAAACCGCTCGAAAGAGACTAGAGAATTTCAACAGAAGGAGCAAACCGCTCGAAATGAACTAGAGTCCCTAGCCCTCAAAGGCTCCTTGAAAGACCTTCGATGGCTGAATCGTAAGAAAACTTACAGGAACCCTAGACCCTAAACCCAATTCCTAAACCCCTAAATCCTAAGCCCCCAAACCCTGTAAGCCCTAAACCCTAAGCCCTGAACCCTCAACCCTGAACCCCCTAAACCCTAAACGCTAAAATGAAAGGAATCCTCAAAGCCTTAAAAGGAGCCCTTGAACCCTCTTAAACTCCCCCCATGATGGGTAGTTCTGTAATGAGGGTTTGTTTTGGGGGTCCTTTTCTTGTTTTATAAGGGTGCCATACTATTTTGGGGACCAAAAAATAAACCCCACTTTAGAGAACTTACTCCCCATCCTCGCGCTGCGCTGCGGCTTGCTGCGCTCAGGCCGGAGGTCGCCCCGCTTCCCGAGCCCGAGCCGGAAAGGGAAGAAGCGTTGGAGCGAATCCCCGGGGGGGGGGGGCTTCGGGATTTGTAATAGGGGTTTAGTGGGGGGTTTAGGTTTCGGGCTTTTGGGGTGGGGGCTTGAGGGTTTATTAAGAGGTTTAGTAGGGGTTTAAGGGGGGGGGGTTAGTAGAGTTTTAAGGGGGTTTACTAGGGGCTTAAGGGGGTTTAGGTTTAGGGTTTTAGGGTTGTTCGGGTTTTTTCGGTGTTTTTCGGGTTCAGGGTTTGGTTTGGGGGGAACGGGACTGTCGGGACTTCGGAGGAGGGTAAAGCCCAGGGGTACTGGACAATTAAGCCTAAAACTGGGTTTTTTTTAGAGGATCTTTTCATCGTTGTGGGTTGCATCGGGGTTTCGGGTGTTTTGTTTGAGCTTTTCGCTGTCGCACCTTGATCCAGTTGCTGGTGCAAAGACTGGCAAGGTGCAAGACTTGCTGATCCCTCGCTCGTGAAAGGCTCCATTTGCAATAGAAGGCCCAGATCGATTTACGTTTTGAATTCACACCTGACCCCCAAGCGACAGGAGCTGCGGACAATGCTGGAAGCAGCATTGCAGGCTTCGTTCCGTGAGTTGTGTTTCAGGGAATTCTGAACTGGTTATTCCCTAACCCTCCAGGTACCTACTATATAGGGCCCTAGGGGCTCTAGTACCCTATATAGTAGGTACCTGGGGGGTTACATAGGGCCCTAGGGGCTCCAGTACCCTATATAGTAGGCACCTGCGGGTTAGGGATTGTGAAGTTGAAGCACACGCTCAACTCAGACATCCTCCGAAGGAACCGAAGGTCGGAGGAATCTACAGGGTTAGCAGTATAAGTTTGCACACGTGACGGGCTTAAGGGCTCTGGGACGATAGGATGAGCCCGTTTGTGCCTGAGATAGCTAGCCCAACAAGTCGACGAAACCCGTGTGCCAAGTGAACTCTGCACGTTTGCTCTCCGCAGCGTGTTTTGGAAATTTTGGTCCCTTCAGCCCGTCCCGTCCTCGTAGCCATGGCAATGACGTCGATGCCGATCCGCCGCCGCGTTCCTCGGTTGTTGCGAGATTTGGGGGTGCGGGTTTCCAGCCGCAGAAACCAAGTGTAGGGCAGTGTAGGGCCTTGGGGCTGAGAGAATCGCAAGTAGACTCTCCCTGTCAGTTGAGCATCCCAGGTGAGGGCCACTCTGCTGCTGGCGCTCGGCGTTTGCAACCCGACTGTCTCTGCTCGAAGCCCTATACGCATTACTCCCACTTACGATTGCGATTACTAATACGATTATTAGTACTACTACTAGTACTATTCCTGTTACCACTACTAGTATTTATAGGAACTTATAAGTATATAACTATTACTATTACGGCTGTCTATTACCAGTACTATCACTCCTACTTCTGTACTTCTAAGTATTACTCTGGCGCCCTTTCCCTTCCGAGGCGCACTTTGGAGCTTCCAGGCGCATCAGGCCTTCGGCAGCGCGACGGTGGTGGAAGTGAAGGAGCAGATTTCTTGGGGGAGCCACTCTACCCGTAGGCTTAGGGGTCTAGGGCTTCAGTGGTTTAGGGCTTAGGGTTTAGGGTTTTGAGTTTAGGGGTTTAGGGGTTTAGGGTTTAGGGCCTTAGGGGTTTAGGGTTTCGGGTTTAGGAACCCTTTTGGGAACTTAGTCATACATATTTTTGTTATATTGTAACAAGGATTAGCAATGATCATTTTTAATATGGCCCCAACAGGGAAGCAGTTCTTCTTGCACTATAACTATACCGGATTATGGGAGAGGCTTCTCAGATAGAGTGATAGCTTAAGATATCCCCGAAAGCCGATTAAAGGTATCCCCCCCACTTGCCCCATTAAGTAAGGTTATAAGTACCTTAATTGGAGATATATTTAAATGTAACTATAGTTACCTTATGTACAACCCTAATTACTAAGTCCCATAATCCTCTAAGTACCCTAAACCCTAAACCCTAAAACCCTAAAGCCCTAAACCCTAAAACCCTAAAACCCTAAAACCCTCTTTAGAACCCCACTTGGTCCCATAATCCTCCAAGCGCCCGGGTCTCCCCAAATCGAAGCCAAGTTGCAGGAGGAGCCCTCGACCATGGCCGGGGGCCTCAAAGATGCGCATTTCGTGTGGTGCACAAACCCGGACTACCAGGGTTTATAGGGGTTTATAGGGGTTTATAGGGTTTATAGGGTTTATAGGGTTTATAGGGGTTTATAGGGGTTTATAGGGGTTTGCCCATAGGCCCCTAAGTAGTTCCTTATTATGGTTCATACCTAGAATCCTATAAGGTCCCAAAAAGGAACTACTTAAGGGCCTATGAGTAGGGTTTAGGGTTAGAGGCTCTAGCGCTCTTACGCATCATGTTTTCGTGTTATGATGCGAAAACTCCAACGTTACTAGAGATAGAAGGTCTACTATGGTTAAAAGAAATACACCCCGCAATCCCTAAATTGCTATTCTATGTACACATGGCATACGTTTATACTTTTGGAATGCATGCCTTCAGGTATGCATGTGTATTAATAACGACGATAACGGTAGGAATCATGGTTAGAATAGTGACAGCAATTGCGGCGACAGTTGTCAATGTCAGTACAAATATAGTTTAAAGATATTACACTCATGCATGTATGTTTTCTGTTTTTTATCATCATAAGCATCAACCATGCTTTGGGTGCGCCTGCGAGCCACGGCATCTACCTTGGGCAGCAGGAAGGGGAATGACACGTTCTGTGCAAACCCCTGCAACAGCAACAAACCCTAACCCTAAATCCTAAACCCTAAACCCTAAAAACCCCTAAACCCCTAAACCCTAGCCCTAAACCCCTAAACCCTAAACCCTTAAACCCTGAACCCTAAGGGCGACCCCCAGGCTCCTGAGCCCTCGTCCCGATAAACGCTAGCGCCCCTGAGCCCCTGTAAGCCGAAGCCCGAAAAGCCTCAAAAAGAAACCCTCCTTGACACAGAAAGCCCGGGGAAGAACCGGGGAGTGGTGAGGTGAAGGTTATCAGTAGTCTCACCATTCCCCCCAATATCCAAGGCCTTTTTTGGCGCCTGCAAAGCCTTATTGGCAACGCTTCTGGGAAGCTTTCATCCTCGCATAAAGCCCTACTTCAGGTGAAGTTTGTCGGCGGCCATCCCCTTCTGGTGTGCTTCGTGGTGATGGCGCGACAACTCAGGGCAGTGTTGCAACACAAGCCCCTTCTAGCCATGGGGAGAACTGGGTGTAGGTGATCCTCAGGTTTACAAGTTGTTTACATGGTGTTTTGGGGTCTCAAGGAAGTACGGTTTACTTTCGGGTGGCTGCCTCGGGGTTAGTGCCGCATTTACTTTCGGGTGGCTGCCGTAGGGTCAGTGCCGCATCGAAATGGGATTCCCGAGCAGTTCACGTGTTACCACTTTTCCTGGCTTTGACCTGCGCCCCTCGTCATGAGCCATGCAATGCTTGTCATGAGCGGGGCGCCCTGGGCACACATCCAGAACTCGCACCTCAGCCAGGCTTTGAATACCCAGCAGAAAGCTTCTCTCGCAGAAGACCTGCCTACCCTGCACCCTGAACCTTAAGCCCCAAGCTGTTTCCTCCCGCCTAAACCCTAAACCCTGGCCCTGAACCCTAAAACCCTAAACCCTAAAACCCCTAAAACCCTAAACCCTAAACCCCTAAACCAAAAAAAAGAGAAAAAACAAAAAAACATCAAAGCTTGGAGAGGCCCTCACGGGAGCCTTCGCATGCACCGAAGTCAGCCAGGCGCCGGCTTTAGGCCTTCGCTGTTCATCTTTAACGATGTATTACTAGGGTTTAGGGTTCCTTAAAGGGATCTATAGGGGTTAAGGGTTTAGGGTTTAGGGATAAGGGTACTATATGGGTAGTACTCTAAATTAGGGTCCTTTCTGGTCCTTTTCTAAGGGTGCCGTACTATTTGGGGGACAAAACGGTACCCCAATTTTTAGAGAACTACCCATATGCGGACCAGTACTGACATTAACTTATGTAACTAGTAATTACTGCTCTTACTTTTGTCTCGTAGTCAGCCGTGTATTTTTCATAAACTGTGTTCTTATTATTGTTCTTATTCTCCTGATTAACACTCTTTAGTACTATTCTGCGTTGGGTTCGGAATTCCAGGGTTTCCGCGTTTGGGGGGTCTTGTGGAGGTTTAGAGCTTAGGGCTTAGGGTTTAGGGAATTTAGGGGTCTTGTGGAAGTTTGGGGTTTAGATTCAGAGCCAATATCTTCCAGCATACCTTAATCTAGGAATCCTCCTTAGGTCATATTAGACATCAACTGACTCAGGTATATTCCACCACCTAGATCCCCGGGAGGATTTAAGTCTACTAAAGGTACTTGCTAGGAAACCTCCAAAAAAGTGAAGCCTGTTGTAGAACCCTATATCAAGGTCCCCCTTGAAGAGCCCGAAAAAAGGAAACCCCTGAAACCCTAATCTACGCTTAAGGCGTCTACTGTTGGATCCTAGGGTTTAGGGTTTTTTGGGTTTAGGGTTTGAGGGTTTTGGGGTTTAGGGCTCTTGGGTTCTTGGGTTTAGGGTTCTGGGTTTTTTTTGGGGTTTAGGGGTTTCGGTTTTGGGGTTTTGGGCTTCGGGCTTAGAAGCCTTGAGCCTTGAGAGGCCACACCCGCTGGCCCGCCTGAGAAGCGCCCGGACTACAACACCTTCCTGCCGCCTGGACTCAGAGCTATAATGGTACAAAATATACTCTGAAATAGAATCTGGTCATATCTAATGTAATAAAAAATAACCTAACCTGATCTTATATGATACATAACATGTCGTAGTATATAACAACTTAGTACATATAATATAACATCTGAAGGACTCAGAGCTTTCGTCCCCGCTCCCGGCTCCTGGGAAGCGGAGACTGCCGTCGCAGACTTCTTTTTGAGATTCTTGTCGTCAGCTCGAATTTAGGATTCATAGGCGCCCTACAAACAAGCAGGTCAGGGTTTAGGGTTTAGGGTTCAATGTATAAGATCGCTTTTAAAATCGCCTCCAGGATGATCCAGAACATCCTTTGCTTCGCATCCGGCTACGTCAACGCGCGGCCCCGAGGGGCATTGGCTTGGGCTGAGGGCAGCATGACAGTCAGGGTATCTTCAACTGGCTCGCAGCTTCTGCCAGTGGCACAAGGCCCTCCCTTCAGGCCTTTTTTGGGGGATCTGAGGCCCTGACCATCATCGACATGGGCATGACCGTCTCCCATCAGACCGGCAACACCAGCCACACAGGAGCGCCGGTAGGATCCCACCGCAGAACTTCAGTCGACGAGTGTCCGCTGTCCCCACAAGACCAGGGTGCTGGTTTCGTTTGCAGGACGCCTGATTATGAACGGTGGAGCCGCATTCTTTCACCTCATGGCCGCCTTCGCTGCCGGCAGCTTCGTGGCAGGCGCAGCTGATCCAGCCGCCTGCTAGCCAGCTTCTCGATACTGTCCTGGCAGGCTACAGCAAGTCCGACGGTGAAGCAGCGCCTTGGATGCAGTGGATTATGGCGGAATTCGGGATGTCGTCGGCACCTGTGTGCAAGTAAAGACGGCCCCGAGCAGCCCTGAAAGCCACGATGCCGTCACCGGTCCTTGCATGCCGAGGTCTACCAGGGCCGCTACTCCCCCAACATGCTCGCGTCCACTTTTTGCGTGCCCGGGCCGCTTTAAGTCCTATCTATCTCTCTTCAGTTTCAGTTCCTCTGATGAGCTCCAGAGCTCTTAGCTCCATAGAGACGCCCTTCGTCCCTGTGTCAACATGAGGTGCTTGGCGGCTGCTTGGTCCACTACTGCAAGGCAATCGCTTGAAGGGTAGAGTTGCAGAGTTGCATTTCGAAGGGTGCCAAGCATTCCTTAGGTAGTTTTTAAGGAGGCCCCTTAAAGGGCCCTACTTCTGGCTCTCTTAAAAGGGACCTTATTGAGAGGGTCTATATCCCCAAGGGTCCCCTTAATCCTAGCCCCGAGCATTCTGAGCTTAGAAGCACCGCAGCTGTGTTCTTTCGGAGCCGCAGGAGTGGCTTCCTCCGCCCCAACGTCCACAGCCCCTTCGAACTCTTCGAACTCCCCCAAGATCTTTGCCCTATACACCATAAACTTATGAACCATAACACTAAAAAGCCTTAAACCCTAAAGTCTAAACCCTATAAACCCCCTAAACTCTATAAGCATATAAGACCAAAAAGACGCCTTAAACCCTAAAAAAACCGCGAGGCAGCGGACGGCGCTGGCAACGATTCCCACTCCGAGTCGCTGCTGCTCTTCGCCTTCTCCCAGGTCCTCAGGGCCTCCAGCATCTTGGGGGGGCCTTACAGGGGTTCCTCTAAAGGGCTCTGGGTTTAGGGTTTAGGGGTTATGGGGTTACGGTACAAGGGTTCCTTTAAAGGGCTCTAT